ACTGAGCTCAGGCAGGCACCTCCTATAGTGACTCTCCCACTGCTCTTGGCAGAAAACACAAACCCCTCCTTCCCCAAAATGACCTTCATGCTCTGGCCCCACCCACCATAAAGCCCCACTCCTTGCTCTCTGATGCCCAAGTCCTGATCCCAGGGTCCTAGGATCTGGCTATGCATCAGGCTCTCTGCTCAGCAGGGTGAGTGCTTCCCCTCACTCTCTTCCTGCCTGCCTTTCTGCCTACTTGTGATCTCTGTTTGTCAAATAAATAAATAAAATCTTTAGAAAATTAAAAAAAATACAAAACCCTGAATTTCAGCCCCTTCCCTGGTCTCCAAGCCATGTCCTCCTCAGTCTCTGGGGAGATGGATTTTCACTTGTGATAATAGAAAAAACATGTACTTTGGAAACTCTGAGTGGCACTCCCTGGCTCTTTATTACTTCATATACACAAATCATCACAGATGGCTGAAGAGAATCTATAAATACAAATTATACACACACACATACACACACACACACACACACATAAACACACACATATATTTTCAAGAGGGGATAAATAAATAAAACATATTGATACATTTTTATATATTCAAGTTAAACTGTAGACAATAGATTATTAGACAAAGAACAGCTTTCACCCATATCCAACATGAGGTCAGGGATATGACTCATCTTGACTATCTCACCCTTTTTTGTCCCTTGTTTTACTCCCTTTCTGAACATGACTTCCTTCCCAAACACTCCGTAATCCATGTGTGGTATATGAATCTCATGAAATTTAACATGTTACCTACATGTTCAATGTTCCAAAAGATTTGTGCAAAAAATCAGGGATGCCAACATTTCTCACATCAATATATGAGTGCTGTCATTTCCCACATCAACGTATGTGTGTTGTCATTTCCCAAATCTCAGGAGAAAAAAAGAAACTGAGCATCTCTAAGATTTCAGATATCATGAAATTCCCCGTAAAGCACAGGCTGGCAACAGAGGTATGCAGGACGTTAGGCAAAAGACCACCTGGTTCTCCTGGGTCACGCATCCTGACCCAAAGCCCTTTTTCTCATTGTCACCCAGAAATTATGGGGGTCATTTTGCTTCTGGAAACAAAGTAATTCCACTGCATTGGGTGACCAATAAATATAAAATATATGTTTTTTATTGATCTAATAAACATCCACAAAATCTAGGGCTTGAAGTCTTCTGATATCAGTAGGACAGGTAACAGTAGAAACCATAATCTGAGCTGTGTTTGATCCCATACAGGAGCATGGGAATGATCAGTAGGACGGGAACAGGGTTAAAGAGAATATTATTACATTTGCCCATGGACCAGGAGCTCTGTGTGACATTTGGTTGTATCAGCTCTATAACAGTGATAATCAGCCTCTCCTCATGATGAAGCCAAGAGATCATAAAAGAGTTCCTGATAACACAGTTGGGTCTGGAGAATGAGGTTCGAAATGCAGACAGTCTTTCGTGCTGTCTCAAGCACAAGCGTATGGGCTGTCTGAGCCTTGGTACCAATTTCATATGAATACTCAGAGTTTATTTTGTCCTGTGCAAATGATGGTAACCTCAAATATGGAATCATCAAGAGCCTCACAGGGGCAGTGACACATTCACATATGGGGGAGTTCCTGATCTGACGTCCCACTGTCTGACCTCACAGAAACTCTAATAATGTATGGAAAGTGAGCAGGACAAAGATCCTAACTGTGGGCTCAGGAAAACCCATTCAAGAGGAGCCCCATGTGCCCGCATGGTGTCAACTGTAGCAGTGACTCATTTATGGATCCCATTTCTGCAACTTCTCTGGGACACACTCTCCCTTTTCCAGCAATGATGCAACCTTCCCTACTGCTGGATCATAAGAGGATTCTTGGCTTCAAACACACAAGTTTTCCCTCTCCTTAACTTCACAACTGAAATCTCAGAGGCCCAGGAAGTATTCCAAGCCAACCCTCCCCAGGCCTGTGTTCTCACACAGCATCTCACCACCTAGAGCCTCACCCATGGGGCACAGGGAGCCTCAGCCAGTCCCTGGCACAGGAGCCTTGGAGGGAAGGGTAGGCCTGTCCTCTGACACCTGGAAGGACAGAGTCCATGCTTTGGAAGACTGTCTACCTGCTGGAATGGTCCCTGGGTTCTACTGGAGGTAAAGACAATGAAAAGCTAGTTTTTCTTATTTCAAGAGAGAGAGAAAAAAAAAAGTTAAGCTGCACAGAACTTGGTTCTATCCCATAGGAATATGCAGGAAACATGAGGGTCATCATGACATTGAAGTATTTGCTGATATTATTGTTCTGTTTTCCTTAGACCCATCATAAGCCAAATAGTAAATACAATCACAGTTTGTGTATACACATTTTAACAAGTTTTGAACTGTCATTGAACAAGACACTGAGCAGATGAAGTGTTCAGACCCAGTTCTTTATCAGCCTGTATCACTGTGGGAGGCACTGTAGTCCAATCAGACAGTAATAGTCACTCTCATCCTCAGGCTGCCGCTCAGAGATGAATTGAAGCCCTGCATTGGCTGAGAGAACTTTGGACCCAGAGAAGCAGCTGGGAACCATAGATAACATCTCCTTTCTTGAGTCTCAGTAGTACCAGAGATAGTGTTGGGGTTAGGGCGCTTTGTGGCATCTGCTCGAACCAGTAAATGTACTAGCTCCCAACACTTAAACCACTGCACTGGGTGAGGTGAGTCTGACTGTTGTTCACCTAGCTGCAGAGAGGGAGGGTAGCTAGGTTAGCACAGGCTGGGACAGAGAGTCTGCAAACACAGACACTCATGGGTGATGGGGCAACGAGATTGGGAGTTTCTTGGTCTTGAGGCTGATACTGTCTGGGAGCTCACCCAAAAGTCTGATTTGCCCTTACATGAGCATAGAGGGAGGAAGAAAAGGCGAAAGGTTTGGTTTGGGCCATGGTGATATAGCCCCTAGTCTCCACAGTTGGGTTGTGTTGTCCCAGCCTTGTCTTTTCCTTCTCACATTCCCCAGGGAAAGTAATTTTTTTTAAACAAATTTGCACCCCATTACAGACTCTGTCAGTTCCATGTGATCAGTGATTCAGGACCTGAGAACAGAAGAACCTGAGGACATTTCCTGCTCTGAGTCAGACCCAGAAGGGGGTGGAGGGAGCAGCTGTGGGGATACTCACAGGACCCTGCATAGGAGCTTCTGCCTGGCCCTGAGGGAACAAGCTATTGTATTTCATTAAGAAGTACAGAGGGCAGCTCAGTCTCTGCCAAGCTTTGAGGGCAGGGACTCTCCCAACTTGAGGGTCACCTTGAATGGCCCAGAGAGATGCACAGTGCCCCCTGATGGTTATGTGCCTCCCTGCAGAGTCCTCAGTGTCCTGAGGTTAATGTCTATACTTGTGACACCAGCATTCAACAGTGACCTGAACTGTGAAGCACCATCTTGGGTCTAATTTAAAGAACATGGATACACGTCTGTGATTTGAGAGTCCTGAAACATTCAGGGAACAGTTTTCCAGAAATAAACACTCCTGTGAATATGATATGTAAAAAAAAAAAAAAAGGAACATATGGAAGAATGAGATTATCTCACCCCTGGGACATTTAGGGATCTCTTCACAGGAAGGTTTCACAATATGTCTCAGGAGAGGAGTAACAGTGTTCTCCAAATGGGTTCACAGAAGAAAAAAATCAAAACAGGGTGTGAAGATTCTCAAACCTTGAAGGGACACAGCAATTTCACAGAGTGGGGAAACCATCTGGTGACAGCATGCCCAGGGGAACAAAAGGGTGGACACAACAGGGCAGAACTGGGGAAACTATGTGGTCGGGGAGGAACAACTAAAATAGGAAAATATGAGGTAAGGATGCAGGTGGTTGTGCTCACAGGAGATGCTCAGGACTGTGGAACATGAGGAACTCAGGGAGAGAAGGAGGAAGGGTAGAGTTTGATGTGGGCATTTCTGTTTTTACTGGCCCATTAGATGGTGCTAGTGGAGCACTAGATAATAAGATGCTTCCCTGTTCATAAAAGAGTTGAGGACCTGAAGCATAGGTAGAAATAGTGAATTCCAAGCTCAGAAATGGTGGGCCTTGACCCTGAGTGACAGAAGGTCATGACCACTGCCTGACGCTGGTGTCCAGGCTGGGGAGCAGTCCCTGGTGCAGAAGTGGACACGTAGGAGGGACAGGATCCTGGAACACAACTCTGTGCACCATCCCTGTGTCCAAAATAGGTGAAAAGAGTCCTGGAAGCAGAGTCCTTCAGTCTGGGCTGGCTCCTGTGTTCAGTCCCTTCACTATTCCTGTAGTATGTATGTTAGTGACATCCTACCTTCTCCTCAGGCTCCAAGTGATTAGCTGGGTGTCCATTCAGGTAAGACCAGCCCCTTTTTGTCTTTCCTGTATAAATGTTCCAGGGAAGGCTGAAGACAGTGAAGATCTGTCTGGTAGTGATTTTTGTAGACCTTCATACCCCAGGGGTATCTCAGGAAGAGTCACAAGGATCCATGAGTGTGGAGCATCCAGGGTCATGCTGAAGTGCGTGGCACAGTAGACATAAAGGAGAAGTGGGAATGGAGAAGAACTCAAACTTCTCACCTGATCTACATATCCCCTGGACTTCCAGCCCCAGGGAGGCAGAACTGCAGACTCTCTCTTATTCCCCTCAAACTCTGGGGAAGGAACACTACATTCTGGTCCCCACTCCTCAACTCCATTTCCTCTACTTGGTATCTGTCATGAGGAGCAGGCTAGGAGGACCCACCTGATCACTGAGGTCCTGGAAATGAAGTAAGCTAGACATTAGGCCCACATTCAGGCAGGAGCTGCTTTCCAAGCTGACATCATCCCACATCTCACACGGCCCCTCTGCTCCATTCCTGTGCCCCCTAACTGATAGGAGGGCGGTGAGCCCAGAGCACTGAAGCCTCCATCTCCACTGGTATGGATCCCCTTTCTACTATCTATGGAGAACAGGCCACACATGGGCCCTCCTTAGGCCTCAGCCTCATGTCCACACTGAGCTCAGAATCCCCTGTGGTGGCTCCTGACTGAGGTCTGTCTCCAGCTGTCTCCACTGCTCCAGTGCTGTCTCCATTGTTGGGGTGAAGAAGGGTGTCAGCTGCAAACCCAGTTCAGAGAACAAAAGGACAATGCCACACTGCAGTTGACCAACAAGTAACCCAATCCCATGACCTGCAATCATGACCCAAGACAAAGTCGAGTTGGACACTCAACCAAGCAAGCTCCCAGGTGTCCCTAGATTTTTTTTGTTTGTTTTTTGTTTGTTTGTTTGTTTGTTTGTTTAGAATGTTATATTCTTGGAATCATATGGAGTATAGCCGATTCAGGTTGGCTTCTTAAACACTGAGCAATATGCACCTAAATACACTCTATGTCTTTTCATGGCTTGAAGGCTTAGATCTTCTTAGCACTGATCAATAGTTTGTCGTTTGGTTGCACGTCAGTTTATTCATCCATCACTTCTGGAAAGTCACCTCAGTTGGCTGCTTCCAGGTTTGGGCAGTTATTAATAAAGCAGCTATCAACATCCTTGTGCAGGTTTTTTGTTCACATTGTTTTGAACTCCTTTCAGTAAATACCAAGAGGTATGGTTGGTGGATTGTTCAATTTAGAAAATGTTTACTTTTAAGGAAACAGTCAAGCCTTTTTTCCAAGTGACTGTACAATCTGTACTCCCACCAGTAGTGAAAGAGAGTTCCTGTCACTAGAAGTCCTGGACAGCCTTTGGTGTCATCTGTGTTTGGATTTTATCCATTTTCATTTGTATATAACACTATCTCATTGCTGTATCATTTTACAATTCTCTACTGATATATGATGTTGAATATCTTTTCTCAAGTGTGTTTGCCATCTGATTGTCATAGTTTTTCAGATCATTTGCGTTTGTTTACTTCAATTCTTCCTTCCTTCCTTCCTCCCTTCATTCCTTCCTTCCTTTCTTTCTTCCACCCTTCTTTTAATATTTTATTTATTTGACAGAGAAAGACACAGGGAGAGATGTAACACAAGCAGAGAGAGAGAAAGAAGCAGGCTTCCCCCTGAGCAGTGAGCCTGATGTGGGGCTTGGTCCCAGGACCCTAAGATCATGACCTGAACCAAAGGCAGATGTTTGACTACTGAGCCAATCAGGAGACCCTTATATTTTTTATGATTCAAAGCCTTATTTTTTTAAACAAATAATAGATATTTCCTTAAATCACTTTCAATTTGCAGTAGAAACAAATGTGGGAAAGGAAGCCTCTGTCTCATGTTTCCTCATTATCGCAATCCTTTGCTACAGGATGGTATGTGTGACAGGTATGCTGTGACTTCCCTGAAATAAGTAGAGACATATCCTAATTTAATATTACTCTCCAGAGCTACAGGGATGGTTATTACCCCTCACCCTGCCCCTAAGGACTCTTGTAACTATCTCAGTAAATCTTCATGGATCATGCAGTAGCCATTACCACGCTCTATTCCTATAACAGTTAGACATTCCTCGCCCCTATCACTTCCTGAAAAACTATCACTGAAATTGATATATTTTTTTTTCCATAAGGATGATGGAGAACGCTCTCAGGGGCACCAGCAGGTCAGGAGTGAGGGTGCATAATGGGGCACAAGAAGGATTTGTACTGTGATATAGTTGCAATAAGCTCAGCCCCTTCTGTGCAGAGATTGGAGCTGGGATTTTTTTTTATAATCCAGAGGGTGGAAATCCGAGGACTAACTCATGGAACCATGCATCAGTCAGTCATTGAATGTGGTCTGCCTGAATTAGTGAATTAGTGACTTAAAATTAGTGACTTTGAGTGAATTAGAATCAGTGACTTTGAGTGAATGCTTACCCAAGGACAAGACCCATAAAAGCGTTCAGTTGAGACAGGTTGGTAAATGACAGAGATACAGGGAAGCCACCACTATATGATGACAGCACAGCCCTTGCACTGCTCCAATCCCCAAGCTTCATAACATGAGTCATAAGAACAGCTCCTCCTGGATGTTTTTAATCACTTACACTGTGGGAAACATGTAAGGTATCATTTGCTGTTGTGAATGACAGGACCTGCTGCTGAAGTTAATCTCAAGGATACACAGAATGCAAATATGTCTTCACTTCCACTACTCATTCTAGATTCTTCTCCAATTCTGAGCAGAACTTGGCTAATCCCTGTGGTATATCTGGTGGGTTTCCTCAACCAAATTTCTTGAGAAGACCGAGCCCCTTCACTTTGTCCTCTTAGAGTTGTGTTTTTGGATCCCATGGAGGTCACCTACAACACTTCATTGACCTCATAAACACTAATCTAGGTAACAGCACCAGGCCTCCACAAGTGACTATGGATGGTAAACATGAGCAGTTGTAGGCCACAGACAGGGATAGGCAAGAGATGCATCATAGGGGTAGTGGAGGAAGACTAGCCTATCACATCTTAATTTAAAAGAAACTCGTGGTGTCATAATGTTCGTATTTAGCTGCAGAGATTTTTGTGAGAATAACTTTTACAAAGAGTTTGGACTTTGAACTAGTAGTTTTCTACATTTATGTAAAATGCAAACCTTTAATCACTTCTTCTGCCCAATTCAGTGGCACTACGCACTCTTACAATGCTGTGCGCCACCACTACTATCCATTTCCAGACCATTCTCATAAATCCAAACGGGAACTGTGTACCCATTAAACAAAGCCCCATTCTTCCTTATCCAGAAGTGAATGGCATAATATGCAAAAGAGGTATTTCAGAAAAATCCAATGATCCATGAGCTCATGGCAACACAAGAAGGAGCAGAGAGCAGCTCCCCTGGTGGCTCTTGGGAGATGTGGCTTGACCCAAGCAAAAGGTGTGTTTGATCTAGAATGACCATGTTGTATACTGCCCACCTCAGGCTAGAAGAGTATTGTGTCTTTTGTCAGTGTGTTTGATATCCCCATCTTTCTCTCCCAAAATGTTTAAGGAATCCACAATGAGAGCCTGAGATTCTTACTGGGATAGTGGGTACATGACTCATGCTATCTGTTGCCCTCTCCACAATCCCTGGAAGCTCAACTCCAGAGAGCACACAAAGGTCATGTTTTCAGGCCATTCTTCCCTGGAGGTCAAGGGGAATTGTACCAATCAATGTTGGATTCTTCTTGCTAATATGCTCCAGATTGTGTCTCTATATTAATACATGGAATTGTCCTGAAATTTTCTTTTACAAACATTTTATTTATTTATTTGACTGAGAGAGAGCACAAGTAGGCAGAGTGGCAGACAGAGGGAAATGGAGAGCCTGAGCCGGGAGCCTGATGTGGGGCTCGATCCATGGACCCTGGGATCAGGATCTGAACCAAAGGCAGGTACTTCACTGACTGAGTCACCCAGGTGACCTGAATTTTCCTGTTGTTCCTGTTGGGTTGTGTGTCATGGATTTTCTAGGATTAGAAATGCGTTTGGGCCACATGCTCTCTATTGAAAAATTCTTGGAACTTGTCTTGCATATTTGTGAGCATTCTCTCATGATGCCTTCTGTTTTGCTTGTTCTCTGAAAGTATTTTATTACTGATTATATACTGCACATTATATGAGATATATATGTGTTATATAAACATATCAATATATTAACATGTAATATAAATATTATATACCCTCATTCATATGTATATACACGCACACACACAGTTATATTTTTATTTTGTATGCAGACTCCCAAACTCTGTAAATGGTGAGACCAGCACAGTCTGACCTGGAAGTAGAGAGAGTGGTATGACAAATGGGATGCCAGAACACTTGTGCTGGGCTCCTGGAGGAAAGATAGTAAAAATTTGTCCTGTCCATCCTTTCATATGCCCAAAGGACCTCACTGGCCAGGGACAAATATGTAGGCCAGGGGGAGATGCCTTCAGAACTCAGCTGTTGAAGCCTCACTTTTAGCCTTGTGACCCCTCTTCCCTACTTTTCTACTATTCTCTCCACCGAGTATCTTCCTGATCCAGATTCTTCATGCAAATATGTTTGCTCTGTGTGAGGTCCATCTGTGTGTGCCTGGCCTCAGGTGTGGAGAAGTACACCATGGGTGTGGAGTAAGTAATTCCATGTGGGGGAGGGAGTCAGTCTAAGGCCTCATGTGTCTCCTGTGGTGCAAGTGTGGAACAGCCATACTGCAGCAAGGACCTTGCTTGCCTTAGGATATGAGAGCTAGACAGGGATATTCCTGCTGGCCCAACTCAGAACACTGTCCTCTCAGAGCTGAGTATTTATACCTGTTCTTTGAAACCTCTGCATGAGAATGTGTCTCTTCTCTTTCCATTTATTCACTTATACAACAAGTGAACAACATGGATCACAGACATCTACTTAAACCTTATACAGCCCTATACTCTTACATTTATGGGATCCTCAAATCTTTCCATTTTTTTTTTCCCAATGAGAGCCCCTGGAGTTGACTCATGAGCTCCTTGGCTCCCTGCCATCTGTGTGTGTGTGTGTGTGTGTGTGTGTGTGTGTGTGTGTGTGTGTTTGTGTATGCTCATGCACAATCATGTGTGTGGTGGAGTTGCACTGGTGTGCTTGTGTTTGTTTTAAAGGATTCATCACCTTCTGACACTATAAGGTGCTCCATGTTCATCCTGTGAAATTCTTGATCTGGGCATTAAATCATTTTTTTTAAGTATGTATGTATGTATGTATTTATTTATTTATTTATTTTACAGAGAGAGAGAGAGATAGGAAGAGATAGGGAGAGAGAGAGAGAGCGAGCAAAAGAGAACACAAGCAGGGGAGGGACAGAAGGAGAGGGAGAAGGAGGCTCCCTGGCTCAGCAGGGAGCCTGATGCCGGCTTCCATCCCAGGACCCCACAGTCATTATCTGAGATAACCTACTGAGGCACCCAGGTGCCCCTGGGAATTAAATCTTTCTCCAAAGAAGTCTGCATCTCTTCCCAGTAGAGTGGTATTAGAAAGAAAAATGTGGGGAAATGTATCTCTTGGCTACGGGGTGCCATTGCTTCCAGCCCCATTAAGCTGACAGACATATGACATTTAGATAAGTCAATTAACCCAGGAACATGCACACAGTGCTAACTAATCCCACATGCCATTATCTGACAGCATCAAACTAACCATGATTTCAAACTGCCATCTCTGTAATCCGTGACCAAACACAGGCTTCACTCAAGTGTCCTCCCTTGCTTGTATCTGAATTCCCTTTCCAAAAGTGAGGAATCTGGTTCCACCTCCATCCACCCACTTACTTACTTGTTCAATTCCTGTACATATCACACACCAAAAAATAATCCATATTCCCCTGGGGACACAACCTTATCTACTACAGCACAGCACTCACGTGCAGTCTCCTATGACTTTCCACAGAGCGGTTCCACTCAGGTTCACAGTCACTCAGCTCAGCAGGTTTTCCTCAAGCCTGGCACTGAGGTGGATTCAGAGGTTTTTGCTGAAGGCAGATGGATTTTTTTACATTCCACATTCCACCATGGACCCAAAAATTCCTAAAAGATGTTTTTTGTTGTTGTTGTTTTGTTTTGTTTTCAATTCATATAATAAGTTTCTGTCAGGGGGCTGTATAGTGTTCAGTGGATTCTGGCCTTTCCATGACTTTACAATATCATAGAAAATAGTTCCCTTGATCAAAAACATATTCCTTTCATCACACATTCAACTTGTTTTCTTCCTTTTGCCCCTCTGGAAACAGCAGGTATTTGTTCTCTCTCTCTTTTTTTTCCCTCTTCCAATATGTGATGTAATTACGATCGTACTATGAAAATTACCCTGTTTTGTAAATGTTCCACCTTACATGGTGCCTGGTTTGGGGGATTATATCTGAACCTGGAATAAAGGTTCAGATGTATGCCAATTTTGGATCTCTTTCAGTTTTTTGTAATAATGAATAAGCTTATGTAAACATTTACTTTCAGGTTTTTCTCTATGGAGTTTTAAAATAATTTTATAACTGTAAATTGGAATCTGTTTCACAAAAGTCAGAATACATGACAAACCAACCAGGGATCCTGGGTGGCTCAGTCAGATAAAATTCTAACTGTGATTTCATTTCAGGTCATGGTTTTGAGATTGGGAGATTGAGCTCATGTTCTGGCTCTGATCTCAGTGAGGAGTGTGCTTGAGATTCCTTCTCTCCCTCTTCCTATGCCCGCCCCCTCTGTAAAGATTCCTAAGCAAATATTTTAAAGTAAACTACCAGCATTGGCCATATTCTTTCAGATATTAATAATAATAATAAAAAAAGTAAATAGATCTGACTTAGTCTTTCATGGCTACATAGGTAGAGCCAATGTCCCATGATACTATAAAGGACAAAAGAAATTGTTTCACTTAATTTACAATCAGATGGTAGATAGAAATATGAAACAGCCTAGAAGTAAAATGTCCTCACCTGATAAAGCCAAGAACTTTATGTTTACATGAAGACTTTGTCTAGGAATGTGTTGCTCTCAGTGACACTGAGGACAGGAGAGCCTCACTCCCAGGTGGTGCCCTGGATGGACCGGGGCCCAGGGCCTCAGCCAAAGGATAAGCAGAATCAGAGGCTAAGCTGAGGAGGAACAGCTGGTGTGTGTCTCCCTCTTTACAGATGAGTAGGTGGGTTCTTGTCTCACTTCCCCACAGACTTGGAGCACTGTGTGACCTCTGAGATTTTTGTCCCATTTTGTGCAGTAATAATTAGCCTCCTCCTCAGCCTGGAGCCCAGTGATGGTCAGGGAGCCGGAGCTGCCAGACTTGGAGCCAGAGAATTAATCTAGGATCCCTGAAGTTTAATTGCTGTTACCTTAAATGATGGTTTTGGGGGCTTTGCCTGGAAGGTGTTGGAAGCAGGACACGTATTCATCACCCCAATGTTGGAGCTGCTTCCGGTGCAGGAGATGGTAACCCTCGGGCCCAGGGTCCCAGACACAGAGGGAGGTTGAGTCAGCACAGACTGGGCCCGGCACCCTGGAAAGGGGAGAGAAACAGACAGGGTGACCTGTGGTCTAGAGACAAGGGGAGGAAGCAGGACCCAGATTTCTCCCCAAGGGCCCTTCCCCTGACCCTGCATCCCTTTGTTATAGCATATTAAATTCCTCTCAGTAAGATTTATTTAAACACAGTGACAATATATTTGTGAAGCTGCAGGTGGAATCTCTAGTATACAGTTCCCAGGTCTGTGTACATTGCAGAGAGAATATGGATGGGAAATTGTGTATAAAAGCATGGATGCAACAATAAACAAAAAGAAATTCCTTATGTTCTTGGTTGAATAAAAGTATATAAAGTTTTTCTGAAATACTTTTTTTTTTGGTCATGAGTTTAGTATTATGGGATTGTACAACAAAAAGGAGAGTCCAGGGACGCCTAGGTGGCTCAGTTGGTTAAACAGCTGCCTTCGGCTCAGGTCATGATCCCAGCGTCCTGGGATCGAGTCCCACATTGGGCTCCTTGCTCCGCAGGGAGCCTACTTCTCCCTCTGACTCTGCCTGCCACTCTGTCTGCCTGTGCTTGCTCTCACACTCTCTCTCTCTCTCTCTCTCTGACAAATAAATAAATAAATAAAATCTTTAAAAAAAAAAAAAAAGGAGAGTCCAACATGACATCTGGTGTGGCCCCAGGAGAAACCTCTACCTACAAATTGCAGAGCCTTCACAGTGATGGAATTACCGAACACAAACAGAGCTTCCAGGACACAGAAATTTGGGGTTGGACTCCACTTTCGAGTGGGGACAAAATTCGTCTGTATAGCTTGTGTCCAACATGTTTAGGAGAGAGTAAATGATCATGATGAGAGGAATTAATTCATATTAGCAATGCCACCTAAACCCAGATTTTGACAAATTTCCCACATCTGAGTAAAGGAAAGGCACAAATAAGAGGGACTATGGCCCTTAGGCTAGGGATCTTGTGGCACTAGCTTGGGACAGAAGATATTTCAGCAGAGATTCATCCTCTTTGGAGGTGTACTAGGTTGGATGAGGGGCTGATGGCCCATCCCTGAGATCACAGGAAGTGTGTGTCTTACAATGCTACAGGATCTGAGCTCCAGGGGAAGAGCCCTGATCTCGTAGTGATTAGCCTCAGGCACTGAATAAGGCCAGAGATGGTTAGGGACTGAGCTGCCCATGGGGACAGAGACTCCTCTGAGATTCCTGAGCATCAGCCTCATCCTAGGAGAAAATGTGCTCAGAGCACATCTTGGATGCCCTGGTGATGAGACCTCAATTGCATTTAACATCCCTGTGGTTTCCTTGTTGATGGGGGCTCTGACTCCTGGAGATTGTGACACAGAGGACATCTGGGTGAACATAGGTTGAGCATGCCTTCTGGATGGATAGGGAAGCCCAGAAATCACAGTCCTAGACACTTTACAATCAAAAAATGAAGAGAGAGATGTGTGTCTGTGTATGTGTGTGTGTGTGTGTCTGACCAAAAATGAGGTCAATTGAGCCACTGTGGCTTTTATACCTTCTACTGAAAGATGGCTCTTCAAGAATTTGGTTCTGTATTTATAGATCAATTTTCTCAAAGACAATCTTCGTGTAAGAGAAAATATTTAGTCCCCGAGGACTCAGATGAGAGCACACCCCTTAACACTTTACTGAGTCAGAAGTCCAGATCTGTCCAGTGACAAATACGTGGATTTTTTTTTTTTTATCATCTGTCCTTTCTCCAGTGAAGGGCATAAGAAGAACATAAAGCAAAGACTGCCTAATAGCTCAAAATATGTTATTTCACCTTGTAGATCTCTGGTGTTGTTTTGCTCCCAAGGCATATTTGGAAATCCCTGTGCAGCGGGTGACAAAGGTGAGAACCAGGGGAGCCCCAGACCTGGAGAAACACACCAGACTCTACTTCTTAGGCCCCATAGTTCTGCTTGAGCTCACCAAAATTTATGTGCCCTCCTGATCCTCAAGGTTGTGGTGGGAGTCTCCTTGCAAATCTTTCCCTTTCTTAAGGCTGTGCGATCCCATCCTTTGACATAACTCGGGATACAGCAGAACAAAACAGAGTGTAGGAATTTGAAAGGGCTTCATCCCTAGGATGACAAAGGAGCTGCTGCAAGGGGCAGGGAGATCAGAGACTGGGGAAACACCTGCGCCCACTGGTGGATGCAGTTCACATGTTGATCCTGGCTGGAGCTGTTGAAATGGTGAATGGAGCCCATTGGACATGACTCCTGTTTCCCCACTGCTCTGATCACTATCCCCTGAATTAGGTCCAGGCCTTGTGTCCCCTTATGTGTCCTCCCACCACCTCAGGACAGACTTTGCGCTCTACTCAGACTCCTCAGGGTAAGTCTTTCTATAGCTCCTATGGCTGATCTGTACTTGGTCAGGACTCACTGATTGTCTCTACACAAACTCCTCCTGGATCAGGTTTAAATACAGACCAATGTTGGATCTCCATAGACATATAGTTGCTTCTGTGCAAGACACTGGGTCTTTCCTTCTATGTGATTCTTCCCAGCTTCCAAAAGTCTCCACCTCTGACATTCCCAAAGCACTGAGGAGATGGAATGCACTTCTCATCATGTTGTGGGTAGAAGCCCCTGTGTGAATTCCCAAAGGGGTAACACACAAAATCTTTGTCACCTGTTACTCTTTTCACCTCCTTGAAACAACAGTTCTGTATACACTGTGGACAGTGATTCCCTCCTAGGATCTGTTCTCCAATCAAACAGACACAAGGACCCCAGCCATGTGAGTGTATGTGTACCATTGACCCCAAAGCACAGACGGCAAACATTCCAGAAGTTCTAGGAGAGCAGTACTGACAACTAAAGATGCTATGACAGGTTTTCAATGACATAGTTCATGTGTTGGTCACCACTGAAACAACCACATACGTAAAATAAGTGCATGTTAATGTTACACAGAATTCATCTCATTCAAACTGATTACATCTCAATATTAATGTCATTGTGCAGATTTAGTTAATGGCTGGTATACTTCTCCCAGGCCTGTGTTTATTGCAGGAAAAATATGGATGGAAATTGAGGTTAAAAACATAGATGGGACAGGGTCGTTTATGTTGTTCAGATGGTTGAGCATTTGCCCTTGGCTCAGGTCATGATTTCCAGGTCCTGGAATTGAGCCCCAAGTTGGGCTGCCTGTTTGGTGGGGAGCCTGCTTCTCCCTCTCCCTCTGCCTCTCCCTCTGCATGTCTTTTCTGTCTCTCTCTCACTCAAGTGAATAAATGAAATCTTAAGAAAAAAAATAAATGAAACAACAATGCAAATGGAATGTCTTCTATTCTTGCTTCAATAACAGTCTATGAACCTTTACTAATATAGTTTGATTTTTCTGATTCTGCGTATATGTATATTTTAGTCATCAGTTTTGTATCCTGGCTCTATTGCTGCAGGAAGGAAAGCTGAAGATGGTGTCCAGTGAAACCCTATGAGGAGCCTGTTCGTATGAATCCAAGAACAATCTCACTGATGGAATTACCACAGAAAATGCTTCTAGTATGGAGTGATTTGGAGTTAGACCTGCTTCACGGTGGGCACAGCTCTAGTCCTTGTACTTTGTGTCCAGCACATTCAGAATAGAACCATTATTCATTCAGCCACATATGGTCACTAGAGAAATGAATTTCTATTCCTCAAGGCCATTCTGACCCAGAATTTCATATCAAAGGTCTCACATGAGAGTGAATGAGAGGCAGAGAAAAGGACAGCTTTGTCCCTTAAGTCACAGGCCCTGTAGTACTGGGTTGGTACAGAAGAATTTTCAGCAGATGTCCAGGCTGGCTGTATCACTGGGGTAAAGGAGGGAGGGACAGCCTAGCCCTCTGAGAGTAATGCAGTTGACTGTGTCACATCTACATGAGTCTGGAGCACTGAGGCTGCTATCCCAGATTCAGTGTACTGATCAGTTTCAAGCACTGACTGGAGCCCTGAGATGGTTAGGACCTGAGCTGCCCCCACTGACAGAGACACCCCCTCGGATTCCTGAGCATCAGCCTCCACCCAGGTGTTCAGGGCACATCCTGGCTGCCCTGAAATCAGGGCCTTAGTTACAGTCAATGTCTTTGATGTTTCCTGGTGATGGGGATTCTACCCTATAGTGTTTGTGACAGTGAGACAACTGGGTAAGCACAGGTTGAGCTTGACTTCTGGAGAGACAGAGAAGCCTGGAAACTGCAGAGCCCAGGGCATTATACACTTGGAGAGAGGGTGTGTGTGTGTGTGTGTGTGTGTGTGTGTGTGATCGATTTATATATTAATATACCAGCTAATGTGTCATCAGTAACACAAGAGTCACACTTTGTAGCTTAAGATATGTGGATTACAGAAATGTGAAAATCAATATTTGCAGTTGATACAACAGTACTTGAGATCTTAGAAACTATATGCACATCTTTGTCCCACATTCTCGATGCAGGGCTCCTGAAACACTTGCCAAATCCAAAGTGACAAAATCACTAGGAGCATCTTTGTGCAAATGAGGTGACTGTGGGGATTCGTGGATGACTCCAGGATGGGGCTGGTCCACCAAAACATGAAACCATGTTCAGATGTTGGGAATATTCAGACCCCCATTATCCAGAAAGAGGAGAAGAGCAGAATGTGAATCAGAGATGACTACCTAAGCCTCAATAGTAATTCCAAATATGGGCTTTGAGAACCTTCCAGATTGGTGAACATACCCATACCCAGAGGGTGATGTACCATAACTCCATGAAGACAGAATCTCCTACACTTGGGATCTTCCCAGAACTTGCCCTAAGTGTCTCTTCATCTGACTGGTTATCAGTTTCCATCATATCCTTTAATGAATTTGTAAAGGGAAGGAAGGATTTCCTTGAGCCACTCTAGTAAATTAAGTGAATGAGGGGAGTATCATGGGAACCCCTCATTTGTAGCCAAGTGGGACATAAGTGGTGAGGAACCTAAAAGTAGCTATTGACATCAAAGTGGGGAGCATTCTACTGAGTCCTTATTCTGTGCATCTGACACCATCTCAGGGTAGGTAAGCTGTGTGTTAATTTGGGCTAAATTTTAGAATACCAAGCAGGTGTCACAGAAAATTGCTTGCTTTGGAAAAGAAAATCCACATGACAGTTGACCAAATGTGTCAGACATGAAATGTTTTACATCAGTAGTAATGGAGAAACAATGGAAATACAAGGAAAGAATGAGGTTTGTTTTAGTAAAATATTTATTATTTTTAATTTATTCCAGACCGTAGGGCATGTGCAATTGGACTCTATTCCCTCACCTGGGTGTGCATTTGGGACACTTGCAGTGTCTCAGGCAACACCACAATCTGTGAGCCACTCCTCCCTCCTCAAGGAAAGGTCTTTCATCAGAGAACTCTTCACTACATGAATTTCCACAGAAGTCTCAGAGACAAGGTCTCTAGTTCCAGGGGTTCTTATTGCTCACTTCTTCATTGTCTGAGACACTGAGGGTAATGAAATCTGCTCCCCCAGATACGAGCTCTAACACAGTAATAGTCAGCCTCATCCTCTGGCTGCAGCCCAGAGATAAGCAGAAGCCCAGCAGTTGCTGAGGTATATTTGGAGCCAGAGAAGTGGTTGGGGACCTCCAGATCCCAACCGTGAAATTGAGTCTGAGTAATAGTATAAGAGAAACCTGGAAGGACTCCCTGGCTTCTCTTGGCACCAGCTGAGGTAGTAGCTGCCAACACAGAAACCACTGCTCAGGGTGCAGGTGAGTCTGACCATTGTTCCCAGCAGTGCAGAGGAGGTCAGCTGGATTAGCACAGGTTGGGGCAGGGAACCTGCAAACACAGACATATCAGTGATGGGGAAATTGAAAAAAATGAATCATCAGAACATTAAGCACAGAAAGAGTGATGTTGGGACCACCTTGTTTTCCACGAGCTCTGTCGCAACCTGCAAATGCAGACACTCATGTATGCTGAGACAGGGGCCAGGTAAAGTTCCCTAGGGACTCAGCCAGAGAGGCTGACACTTGCTGGAGGTCAGTCCTGTGTCCCTGAGGCCCCTCCTTACCTGCAGAGTAGTATAGGAGCATGAGGAGGACAAGAGTGCAGGCCATGGTGACATAATCCCTGATGCCACAGTGGCTTGGGCTCAAACAGGCATTCTTTCTCCTCCACCCGCTGCCACAAGAGGGCCTGTTCATGTAAATGGGGTTCACCCAGGAGCTGCCTGGCCCCTCCCTGAGCCCTGTAGCTGGAGATTAGCTCATATCACACACTGAGGAAGATGGAGTTTTACTCACACTTGCAGAGAACACTGGAAGGAAGCATCTGCTGAGACCACGAAGAGCTTCCAGAGCTGAATGTCCTCAATGACTAGTCCTCACTGAGCAACTTTGTAGGGACTACAGGGAAGTTTCACAGTGCCCCCTGAAAATCTCACATGGAAAAATGAAAAATGAAATAAAAAATGGGGGAAAATACTTGTAGGAGATAATTCCTATTAAGAATAGATAAAATTAATACTTTCTTAAGAAGATCCAAAATTAGGGGCACAGTCAGTTAAGCCTCTGACTCCTGGTTTAGGCTCAGGTCATGATCTCAAGGTCATGGAATTGAACCCAGCATGGAACTCCATGCTCAGCAAGCATTCCACTGGGATTCTCTCTCTCTCTCTCTCTCTCCTTATGCTCCTCCCCTGCTCGCTCACTCTGCCTCTCTAAATTAATTTTTTTAAAAAATTAAAAAGGAAGATATACAATTAGTTCTACTTGAAATAATTTGAGTGAATAGATAAATTTTAATAGGAAAATGTGATTTTTTAGAAGCACTCTACAGAAATGCATATGTTACAGACATTTTCACAGGAGACATCTAACAAAGCTTCTGAGATAAGATGGTTCCAATTTCTTTGCTTCTTATTCTATTCTTCTATTATTAGGATGGAATATTTCTTAGTTCTTTTAAAAGTGTTATAACACTGATAAATACACATAGCAAATTACATTTCACAAAAATGAAAATTACAGACCTGTAACATTAAATATTGATACAAATACTGTATATGAAATATTAACAAAGAGGTATCAGTATCATAATAATAAATTGAAATACCATTATTAAGTGTGATTTGTTCCAAAGATGCAAATTTTGCTCCATATTAAGAACACATTTCATATCACATGCCATATCATTACATCAAGGGATACGGTCATATAGCCCCAATTGATCTTGAAAGAGTTTTTGACCAAATCACAAAAAAGAAATATGGAAAATATGGAAATATGGAAATACAAACAGATACATTTATAATAAAGTAATACCCACTCTCTCGCACAATTATGATGTAACCCTAAGTCCAGCATCTCAGTTTATGGTGTAGTGAAGGGGACCATTTTCGCAAAGATCAGGAAAATGCTAGAGATGACCCTCACATCCATTATTTTTCAACAGTATTCCGCAAGTATCAAAAAATACAATTAAGTAAACAAAATCAATGTTTAATACTTAGTATCGATGGTAATGGACAAGTAGTCATTCTTAAAGATGTAAATGGATGTCGTGGCATTAGATAAGCCAATGCCGGTGCAGACATGACCGCAGAGATCTCCCCAGTGAGTGATTAGTCACTGACTGTGACCAGTACTGCTGACACTTAATAACAGAGACATGATGGATGGAACAAGGACAACAGAGAAGATGAGTTGGCTCACTTGTCCAGATTGAAGAGAACCATGGAAATTTGAGGCACTGAGCATAATCTGACGTGATCATCTCTTCCCACACAGGCTATGTCTTAAGTGACATCAATCATTGCATTTGTGGAGCTTCTGCCCCAGAGCCAGCATAGCCCACACTGCTGACATTTCCGGTGCAGAAATCAGGGACCTTTATCCAAGTGACCAGTGCACTGAAACATGGTCTGTTAGTCCAGTGTCACTGCGTCTGCTCCTGATGCTGAAGAAAGAGCAGGTTCCGAGTGACCTCAGGGACTCCTTTCTGTAAGATTTGGCAAAGGCTCCTGCATAAGGGTCTGAAGGAGAGTCCCTAGGACATGGTGAAGACCCCACTGAGCTCTGTCTTCTGAGGTTCCATCAAGGGGATTATAGCTACAAGCTTTATTATTCTCTGAGCAGACTCTCCTTAGAGCCCCCTTCCTCCTTGTACATGTATTCCAGCTTCTCCTTTTCTACATGCCTCAACCATACCAGACCCCATAGGGGCAAAAAAGGGTAGGGGATGATCCACATTTGAAGCAGTGTGCAGAAGGAGCCAGAGCCAGGAGCTCACAGGGCAATGGGCCCTCACCGGTGGAGGCAGGTCACACATCAGTGAGGACACAGTTTGCCTGGTGCCCCTCTCTCCAGCTGAGTGGTTTGCCCACCATCTGGAGTCCCTGCTTCCACAGCTCCCCTGGTGCCCTCAGCACTCACCTCCTCCACCCTTGTCATACCCCTCTGCACACCAAGCAAAAGGTTATTTTTCACCATTGGCTTCCTGATGTAGTGACACAACCTCCCACGCCCCACCCCGTCAAAACCCTCAGATTGTTTTTCAGAGTCCATAGTCTCTCATGGTTCACCTCCCCTTCCAATTTCCCTCAACTCCCTTCTCCTCTCCATCTCCCCTTGTCCTCCATGTTATTTGTTATGCTCCACAAATAAGTGAAACCCTATGATAATTGACTTTCTCTGCTTGACTTATTTCACTCAGCATAATCTCTTCCAGTCCCGTCCATGTTGCTACAAAAATTGGGTATTCATCCTTTCTGATGGAGGCATAATACTCCATAGTGTATATGGACCACATCTTCCTTATCCATTCGTCCATTGAAGGGCATCTTGGTTCTTTCCACAGTTTGGTGACAGTGGCCATTGCTGCTATAAACATTGGGGTACAGATGGCCCTTCTTTTCACTACATCTGTATCTTTGGGGTAAATACCCAGTAGTGCAATGACAGGGTCCTAGGGAAGCTCTATTTTTAATTTCTTGAGGAATCTCTACACTGTTCTCCAAAGTGGCTGCATTATTTTATTTATTTGATACTGTGAGAGAGAGATACAAGTAAGGGGAGCAGCAGGTAGAAGGAGAAATGGGATCCCTGCTGATCAGGGAGTCTGATGTGGGCCTCAATCTGAGAACCACAGGGCCATCGTCTGAGCCAAAGACAGAAGCTTAATGACCGAGCCACACAGGTGCCCCTCTCTGAACTCTTCACTCCTTGAGCAGACAGTGTTTGCAAGAGAGCCTGACATATAGTGGTTGTTATGATCAGCATTCCAAATGCAGAGTTTGAGAAAAATATAATCCAAACTTAAGAATGAGTGCTATGTGGGTTGCTAAAAAGGAGAAGAATTTATATGCTTATGTCTGAAAATTTACCCATAGTTTATCATGATTTTTCCAGAAAGATCAACTAAAGCAAAAACAAACAAACATCAACAGTAACAACCACAAAATGGAAAAACAGATCTCATCTACCAACTGATTATAAAGGGATGTGTTTTACCAGAAAAAATTCTGCAATTATATGGAGCAGACTTCAACTGATTTCAGTTTGGGCAGGAACAACCCCTGACAAGCAGTGTGCCCAGCTCCAGGTATGAGCAAGATGCAGGCTGTCAGAGGAATTCCATCATGAGGAATTTATTTTCTGTTTCTTTCTCATATCACACTACCTGAATCTCGAATCAAGCTCTGCAGGTGGGAGTGAGCCTGGAATGGCCTGGGACTGCTCTGTGGAGGGACCAGCAGAATGGTCAGGAACCAGCTCCAGCTGGAGATGCTGGGCTGCAGGAGGGGAGATAAGATGACACAGGGACTCAGGATCACCCAATCGCCCTGCCAACAGGGGTGACTTCTGAAACATAGCTGCTCAGCTTCCTGCCATCTCAGACCAAGCTCTGAAGCCACCCTGGAGAAAGTAGTGCTGATGCAGGACCACTGTGCCCCTCTGTGCCTCCTTCCCCTGAGAAAACTGTCAGATGAAAGACTAAGTCCCACACTGAGCCTCTGCAGGATGAGGCTCTCTCCTGTATGATGGGGATCCTGTGGCTGGTTCAGTGCACTTTCCATCATGTTCACTAAATGTGTTCATAAGCAAAGGAAATGAGTTCATCCCAATGTTGCGTTCTTGTAAAAAATCCCTCATTTTTAACAGGAATGGGAGCAGTTTCATCATGTGTCAGATGAAAGTAAGCAAGCATCTGCAATCCTGGAAATCTGATGAACATTCTCCTGGGTCAGGGCTGCTCCTGGGTCCTGGGAGCCAGGGATGGAAGTCATCCTGCATCAGAGATGGGTTCTCCCACTGCTCCAGTGGGTGGAGCCCCTCCCTTCTCTGTTCCTAAGACCATGAAACTGCTCCTTCTCCTTCCTGCCCCCATCCTCAGTCCCTGAATCCTCCATGTCATGCGGAATCTTATCCACCTTCTCTGCCTTACCTCACACCCCTCATCAAGAATCCTAATGTAACGTGGGCACCACCCACAGCCGCCACCTGGTCTCTGTCTTCATGCTCCCCTCCTACTCCTCACCATCAGTGCAGTATTAGGACATCATCACAGCACATCAGAATCCAGGGTTCCCTGTCAATCCCTCCAGTGCTGAAGCTTCACCCCACCAACCTCACCATTCCTCACACTCCATTAACATCTTATTTGCATTGATATTAATACTTGTGTTTGTTCCTTCTCTCTCATGACATTTTCAAAAACATGGGGACACAGACTGCCCCTACCATGTTCTAGCTCTATCTATGTCAGAGCATCTTGCCTGGCAAATATTTGGGGTTTGAACCTCCCCTAATCTCTCCCCTACCCTCTTCTACCTGTGAGAGAGGGAGGGACTGTTCTTTCAATGAGACTCCAGATTTCTGACCCCTCACTGGCCCTGTGTCAGGTTCCTCACCAGAGGATGTCAGGGAGGAGACTAGGGTGTGTTGTTGCATAGAACTATTTGGTGGGGAGTTCCCAACTCTGATCCCAGAGGAGAGGGCACAGGCAGGGTCAGATGACAGGTCCCAGCTCTGATCACCTCTGATCCCTCAGAAAATGAACCTGAGCACCTCTGATGTCCAGGCCCAGAAACACCCTTTCATGACATGGTAATCAGAGCTCATCAGAGATCTCTGGTTTCCCACTGCACTGACCACTGTCTGCTGCATTAGAGCAAGGCCAGGGCTCCCCTTACTTGTCCTTCCACCATACAGGACAGATATCATCCTCTAGTTAGACTCCTCAGAGTGAGTCTGTCCATGGCTCTCATGGGTCAGAACTCAAATGGTGTCATTGTACAAACTCCCCTTAGATCAGGATGAAGCTCAGAACAGCAATGGGACCCAAAGGACACATAGCTCCTTCTCTGCAAGATGCTAAGCCGTCTCTGTTATGGGACTCCTTCACAGTTTCCAAGGGAAGCACTGAGGAAATGGAGTCTTCTCTCTAAGTTGTGGGAAGAAATCCTGACGTGCCTTCCTAGAACGGTTACTCACTGAATATCTTTGTCATCAGTTACTATTTATACCTGTTTGAAACAACAGTTCTCCACACACTGTGGACAGTTATTCCCTCCTAGGATCTGTTCTCCCAGCACAGACACTAGTCTGCAGCAGCCCTGCCACGTGAGGCTGTCACTGTCTCTTATCTCAGAACAGAAAGGGCAAAACTGCAGGAGGTTCTAGGAGGAGAGGAGCGACACTGCAGATGTCACAACGATGGAATGACACATTTTATTAGTAATCACTTTGCCAGGTGTGCACTTGAAATGGATGCAGGTTAGTTTGTCCAAAATTAACTCAGTCAGATTGATTTAAACTCAGGACCAATGACAAGGAGAAGTTGCAAGTACAATGAGTAGTGTACTTTTCTCAGATCTATTTGTTGTGGTAAAAAAGTGGTTGGAATTTAGAGCTGAAAGCATAGATGGAAAAATAATAGAAAATAAATGTCTTCTATTTTCAGCTGAATAGGAGCCTATAAACTTTTTTCTAAAATAATTTGATTTATTATTATTATTATTATTATTATAGTCATTAGTTGTGTATAATAGGCCTGGTCCTGCAGGTAAAAAGCTGATGTGGTACACAGTGAAATCCAAGAAGCCATTCCTATGAACTTCAGAGCCATCTCAGAGATAGAATTACCAAACCCAGACAGCTCCCACAGGAAGGAAATATTTGGCATCAGACTGGACTCGGGTGGGCATAGCTGTACACCCTGTGCTTTTTGTTCTGCAAGTTCAGAACAGAGAAATTGTTCACTGAGCCACCCATGACCAGAAGAAGGAAATTCTATTACCCAAGACCAACAAAACCTAGAAGTGTCTGTCCAAAGTCCCACATGTGAGTGGAGGTGAGTTGGAGATAAGTGTCTCTGATGTCACAGCCCTGAGGACTTGGACTGGGACAATAGAGTCTCAGCAGAGGCACAATCTCTATGGAGGTGTCACGGGGATGACTGAGGGAGTCATATCCCAGCCTAAGGAGCACAGGGGATTGTGTCCCACATCCCCAGGGGTTCTGAGCTCCAGGGGAGCATCACTGAGCCTGGGGTCTTACGTTCTCCATGGGAAAGATTTATTTAGGCAGTGAGGACTGATGTGAGATCAGGCCTTTTCACAATTCCCTGAATCAGAAGTCCAGGTTTTCTCAAGTGAGAGAAACAAGATGGAGAATATGAAGGGTTCCATGCAGCTCTATTTTCTAGACATACTCCTCCCCAGCGATGGACCCTGGAGACTTGGAACTACACCGCAAGCATTTGCATTTTTCTATGAAATCCTGACATGGAGATAGAGTTCAGACTGCAGAGCCAGAGGGAGGGACTGAAGCTTGAGGGACATGGGAGAAGACAGAAGAAGAGGAGTGTGTGGGTGGTATTGTCAGGGAGAGTCTGTAGAATCTGGTCCAAGTTCATGTGTAGCTGGTTCAGAGAGAGGAGATTGTGTTTGCCGCCAGGGTTACTGTCAATATTGGGCTCCCTGCTGCTGGGGAGCCGGCTTCTCCTCTGTCTGTTGTTCCCCCTGTTTGTGCTTTCTCTCTCTCTCTCTCTCTCTGACAAATAACTAAATAAAATCTTTTAAAAAGTCAGAGATGTTTTTTATCCCCTCAAGAATGACACTGGAAGTTACAAGGCAATGAACCATAACTTCTCTGAGGGAAAGTTATTTCCTAAAATAAAACAAGCAAACAAACAATTAAATAAATTACCCCCATGCTCCAGGGTATGAGCACATCACAGTTACTGGCCTCACCTATTTGTCCACCATGTCATCCCTCTGCAGTCTCTACCTGTGATGGTGCTGCCAGGTGCAGGACTGCAGGCTGCATTAGCTCCTGGCCAGAAGGAGATGGCATCTCTTGTGTCTGGCAGGCTGCCGGCTGCTGACATCCATGGAATGGTGGGGCCTGGTGCACCTGCAGGACCTGGAGGAATTGTAGCTGACCAGTTGATGTGGGATCATCATGAGGTCTCCAAGTACTTCTCCCAGAATCTGTCCTGCTGTCTCCTCACCAAGTAGGGCAGGCCCCCAGCCCATGGCACAGGCAGCTGGAAACTCTGGGCAGGAAGGATGTCTTCTCCAGGTCCTGCCTTTAGGGGAGATCTCTAGCCCTTGGCCCAGTAACTGAGGTTTTCGAATTCATTGAAAGCCCTTTCCAGTTCACCACCTGGCCCTGCCCAGGCAGAGAAGGGCAGTGGGAGTCCCATCCCTGTGCACTCACATACATGTGCATGAATGTACCTGTGGTCTTGTGCCTGCCCCTGGTGCCTGCACTGCATGCCCTTCCTCCACCACAACAAAGCCACCTCCATCTTTTCTCCCCCTGCCGGGGCATGGGGTTTGTTGTAGGGGTCAAGGGACTCTCCTCACAGCCACCCTCACTGCCTACCCCACCACACCCTGGTCTGTCTCCCTGTTGTCCGCCCATCTCAGGCAAAACCCAAAGGGATCAAGGGGGGGCTGGGTCTCCCAGGATACACGGACCAGAAGAAACCAAGGAAATCCTACATCTTCCACTGTACCAAACCTGCAGCCCCTGGAGGGCTGTGAGGGGGAACAGGCCACCGCCAAAACCATGGCCTGCCAAGGAGCCCAAGTTCCAGGGGTCCTTACCCCACCTCATGCCAGCCTGACCCAAGAGACCTCCTGTTTATTTGCTTCTGTAGGAGGCAGCTCCCTGCTAGCCCCATCCCCGCCTGCAGTCCTATAGGTCCTTGGGCCAGGCTAGGGAAGAACTGTGTTTGAGGAAGGAACAGACTGGCTGACAAGGATCTTGCTATAATCAACACTAATGGAGGTGGCTGTAACTTACCTCAACCCTAGAGTGATATAACCACCTTGAAAGACCGAAAGCTGGAGTGAACCTTAGGCCTGGCAGGCCCTGCATGCAGTCCTGAGTGGGACCCACACTGCAGCACCTGTAGCCAGCTGGGTCCAGCCTCCTCAGTGTCACACTATATACTGGGTGGGTCTCTGATGGGTGGAAGCTGGACAAGCAGGACCCAGCCAAGCCTCAGATATAGCACAAGCCAGCAAGTCCAGTGTTACAAGTGGCCAGCACACCCTCAGCATCTAGAGAAGGGAGGGCTCCTTTCTACCTGCCACCCTCCCCTCTCCAGTTTCCCAAACCTCTGCCACCCCAGATGGGCTCTGGCCATGTTCTTTCCAGTCCCAAGACACATGCAAGTCCTGTGGGGATTCTGGAACATCCTGGCAATATCTGAGGAGGGCAATGGGACCCCATCCCATCCCAACCTTGACCCTCAGGAAGTACAGTGTCCAAACCCAATGGATGCCCCCATCTGGTTGGAAGAAAGTAACCAGTTTCCAGACAGCCAGAGACTTAGAGACAGAGCAAGAAAGCGAGAGATGCTGTTCAAGTAGAGAAATAGTTCAACAGTTCCAAGATTTCCCAAAGTGGGGGGGGGGCACAATCAAGCACCAGGGGGATGGATACATGAGCAGTAACAGGAGGTCACACTTTTTGGAATAAGGTGATAGAACTGATTGTGGATGAATATTCAAGGGGCAGCATGTTCAGGAGCAGACACGGTGTTCATTGCTGTCCATCTTCCCCAGACCCAGTAGGAATATGCAGTTGGGCTCTGATACCTCATCAGTCCCTGTCTTCTGGGAATGCCCTGCAATGTTTCACCTGAATACATAACCTGGGTATTTCTGTTGTGTCCAAGAAGAGATCTTCCAACAGATATGTACCCACTGTGTGACTTCAGTTTAAGTTTCTCACTGATAGTAGTCTGAAGCCCAGGTCCATTGGCTCAAGGGCCTTCATCTCACTTCCTCCTTATCTGAGACACTGTGAGGAATGAAAGCTGCTCCTACAGCCATGATCTATAGCCCAGTGAGAGTCAGCCTCATCCTCAGGCTGCAGCCCAGAGATGAGCAGAAGCCCTGCATGGACCGAGGTATCCTTGGATCCAGAGAAGCAGCTGCAGATCCCAGAGACCTGTTGAGTCTGAGTAGCACCTCAGCAGAGGCTCAGGAGGGCTTCCTGGCAGCTACTGGAACAAGGATAAGGCATAATTCCACACACTGAAGCCACTGCTCAGGGTGCATGTGAGTCCTACTGATGATCCCAGAGATTCAGAGAGTGAGGGTAGCTGACTCAGCATTGGCTTGGACACAGAATCAACAAACACATTTATGGATGTTGGATCAGGGGCCAGATTAAAGGCCCACAAAACCACCAAGGTAGAGTGGCTGACATAGTCTCATAGGTTGCTCTGTGGCCCTGGGGCTAGTCCTTCCTTGTGCAGTGAGAGAGTGTAACAAAGATTTAAAAATCCAGGCCATGGTGACACAGCCTCGAATCCCCCAAAGGGGTTGGGCTGCCTGAGGCTTCCTTTTCTACCCCACCCTCTGTCACAGGAGGGGCTGTCCATGCACCTGGGCTCCATCCAGTGACTGTCCAGCCCCTCCTAAAGCCCTGGTGCTGGAGATCAACTCAGGACACAGAGGATTATACCAGTTGGCTCCAGCCCTCAGGAGAACCCTGAGAGAAAGCACCTATTGAGACCACACACAGGTCGCTACTCAGAGGAATGTGCCAGGTCTGAGAGGACACAGCTACTGAGTCCCCATCATGGAGCCTAGAACCCAGTCTCCAATCCCAGGCTCCTTGCTTGAATTGTCCTACTGAGCAGCTGGGTGAAGACTTCAGAACCATTCCACAGCGCCCACTTCTGGTCAGGGGCAAACACTTCATCATGGCCTAAAGCCCTGAGAGCTCAGTGGAATTCTGTCTGCTTTGTGTGTTGCGTAAGCCTTGATCTCCATGCTCTCAGACCCTCCTGAACCAAATCCCCACTGCCTCATACCCCTCCTCTGCAAACTCTGGGCTCAGGGCATGTTCTTCAGTGAGTCACAGTGACTTCCCAGAGCCATAGATGGACTTGTCTGGGCTTTGTATTAGCAAAGAGGGCGAAGATTTTCACCTGGGCCCAATTCACCAGAAATTGAAGGGTCACAACATTCCCATCTCTTATGGAAGCTGCACTCCCTCACAAGCTTTGATGTGCTCAGGCATCTTACATGTTTATATGGATGAGAAGCCCGCCTTGGAATAATGCTGGTCAAGCAGGCAGAAGAGGAGACTAAAGGGCAGAGCAGGGGCTCTGACTCCTTGTCAGCCAGTAGCATGTGCTTCCTCTGAGGAGATCTTGTGGTCAGAGCAAGACAATGGGTGATGGAAAAGAGTTTGTAACCTGTCAGAGAAAGCAAGGCCATCATGAGAAACATGCAGTCTGCACACACTGCTGGCACAGAGTACCTTGTCCATGCCAACATAGGACAGCAATGAGTGCATTTATTAACAATAACTCATTGATCAATGTCCCAGTGATTGATAACAAGCCTAATTTTCGGAGTCAGGTTCATGGGTAATTCAGGACACCCCTACAAAACAAATGCTTGTTGGGGTCAGTATTCTATACCTGAGGAGGCTCTCTGGGACAGGATTTAAGGCATCTCCAGGTGGCTCTCACCCATGGGCCATAGAGGCCCAGGGCAAACACCACTGTCTCCCCCACATTTGGTGGCCGGGGAGTGTGACCTCTCAACATCACCAGTTCTCTCTTCCCGCTGACCAGCTCAAGCTCATGAACCATCTGCCTTCAGGTTTTCCAGGTACCTAATCACTGTGCTCCTGACATTCTTGACCTCTGTAAGTGTCCCTGGAGCTCACTGTGTGACTTTCAGAATGAGAGGCACCACCTCACAGGGAATGGGAGAATCAGATAATTTTGTCAGTGTACTAAAAGGTTCTTAATGTCTTAGCCATATCAGACTTGACCTTTTGTCCCTGAGTGACGTCCCCAGGTAGGACCCAATCTGAGTGCTCCACATTTCCATTGCAGTCCTGCTGAGTAGGCATTGGTATCACTCAGGGAGACAGAAGATTTGCCACATGTGTCCACAACCCTGCCGAGGACTCAGCTGAAAAGAGGGGCTATGTCATGACGAGAACTGGCCAGGCCATGGAGATGCCGCCACCACTGTCCCCAGCATGGTTCTTGGATTCAGGATCGTTGCATTCATATCAGGTATAGAAGGAGGTATGAATAGGAATCCAGGAGGCTGAGCGCTGGTAGATAAGGGACATGGCATGTGCATGTGTATCTGCTTCAGATCTATCCCATGAGGAGATACCTTAGCATAAGAGGAGAGAGAAGGTAAGTCTCCTGCTGCACGATGGTTGTGTCCTGTGCAGAACCTGGGCAACATGGGGAAGGGACAGGTCCAGGCCAAGATGCAGCCAACTCTAGGCTATTCACTCTGAGACCTACAGATCTGCCAAGACCTCCCTCAGTCTTTCTCATTGCCACCCACGTCCCTGAGCAGTGTCTCCTCATGCACATCCAATCACCAACACCTGGAGTAGCCCAAAAGCTCAAAGGCCATCAGAAGGGGATTCATAGGTGGACCTGTCTGAGGGTTACTCTCCTCCTGCCCTCCACAGTGTGGGGAGTGGCTAGGGAGGAGGATACAGAGGAGGAAGCACATGAACATCCTGACATAGAATCTAATCTGAGTCCAGTTATGAGTCTGCAAAGGCCGTTGGGTATCTCTAAAGAAGGGCTCACTTCCAGAGTAACTCAGTCTCAGACCTTGATTGTCTGCATGAAGTGCCAGTGGGTCTGGAGCCTGGGGACGAGACCCATGCACAGCACCTGCGAGTGTCCTCATATGTGTGCAGATGTGCATATACAGACACCCAGGCTGACAGACCTGGTAAACAGATGGCAGAGACACCTCTTGTTACATGTGAAGCACACAACTCAGTGCCTTTCACAAGGGGCTCAGGGCACAAACTAGGAAGGGAAAATAATTATTCTGGAATGTGACAGCTGCAGGTCCCAGAAAACAGGTGTCAGTGACATACCTGGCTCCTGCTGATGACATTCT